TCCCTCCTACGCGGCCCTCAGGAAACAGAGTGAGCAGCCACTGGTTCTCTGTCATTGTGAATTTGTTTCAGGCCCTGGGCTACAACCTTCAGAGCTTATCAGATGCCAGGAACTATTCTAAGCGCTTCATACGTTTTGTTGTCTTTGATCCTCACCACAACCACAGAGGGGAACTTGCTCCATTTCTTTCCTCCCCATTTCTCAGACATGGAAACTGAGGTGCCTGGAGGTTGAAGGACTCGCCCAAGGTCGCACGGCAAGGGAGTGCGGGAGCTGGGATTGCAGCCAGTCTGAGTGCTGTGCTCTCTCCTTGTTGCTTGGAGCATCGGATGCATTAATCACTAGACCTTCCCTGGTAGATGCTATTACCGCTTGATAAGTGGGGGAACTGAGACCTCGAGGGCTAAGTTTTAGAATGCACAGTAAGTGAGCAGGGGAGCTGAGATTTGCCCACACCTGTGTGATTCCAAATCTATGTTTTTTTCCTGGTGTGGCAGCGTTTGCAGGGATAAGCTATCATTCTGAGGCCCCAGGCCCATCACGAATTCCTGTTAAACCCAAGCTACAGGGATGCCCACCCTGGGTCCTGCTGCGGCCCTTGCTAGCTCTGCCTCTCTTGACAGGTAGAGGAGTTAGCAGAGGCAAGAGGACACACCCAGAAGGACCCTGCGGTTACAACCCCAGACAGTACTCTGCATTCCCAACCCCTAGAGTTCTCTGCCTAAAGGTAGACCTTGGCCCAGTTCCAGGGCCTGTGTAGGCTGATCTTGGTCCATCCTTGCCAGAAATGGCCAAAGGAAAATTGTTTACATGGAAGGGAATAGAAAAAGCTTGGCCACATGGTCTGGGCCATCCACAGGACTGCACGAGAAGCTTCCCCAGTACAGTACAGAGAGATGGGTGGGCAGAAAATCAGGGAGGATCGTGGCTTAGGGCTGGGAGCCAAGAGCTGGCAATCCCATGACACCGTGTTCTGGGTGGAGCTCCAAGAATCCTGAGAAGTCTAAACTCTGAGTCTATAAGGTCATGTTGCAGTTGTACTTATCAAGGAGGGAAGAAAGACGTGTTTTATTTGAATATTTGCTGGCTTTTCTCCCCATTTAAAGTATTAGGCATATGACAGGCTTTCAGTTTTTGTTTTGCCCCAAGGCCCACACCTGGTAGAAATGGACCCATTCTCATGTCTGGAATTTTCCAGTACTGCCTTTAAGGAGTCAAGAAAATTCACAAACTGTGTGAGAAGTTGCCCTTTGTGTGAGGCTGCCTGCACACAGGTGGTATTGAAGTGCATTGCTGGGAGGGGAAAAAAAAAACAAAAAATCTTGCTTTCAAGTCACCCTAGCATAGCAGTTCCTGTGCCACTAAAATCCAGCTTCATTGACCCTGAAGCCTGAGCACACTGTAGGACCAAGTGACATTCACGTTAGAGCTGTCCGGCAGAGCTCCAGGAGTCCTGGGTGACATGACCTCCACTGGCCGTGGCTACGTGTAGACAGTGAAACTTGGAAAACCGAATTCTTAGAAAGGATCTTGTCCCAAGTAGAAGGTGGAAAAATGGGTTATAACATTCATATTCCAGGGAAAAGAATGGAAGAATCCAAGAAGAAAGCTCTAGGGTGTAATGTTTGTAAAATCTTGATCGTGACCCAGCTGTGGGCACACCTAGCTGGTGGGGGGAGCTGGGATACACACTTTGTGTGCAAGTCTAGAAACATTTGTACTGTGGGAAAAGGGGAGAGAGAGTATTGGAAGGCAAAGAGCCATCTGTGCCAGACAAGGTTTGTGGAAGTGCTTACCACAGTGCCAAGTTTACAGCAAGTGATTGAGAACTATTAGTTTCTTTTACTTTTTGAAGATTTATTTTTATTTGTAAGAGTTGCAGCAGAGAGAAGGGGAGGGGGAGAGAGATCCTGCATCCACTGGTTCACTCCCCCAGTTGGCTGCAACAGCCAGGGCTGGGCCAGGCCAGAGTCAGGAGCCTGGAATTCCATCCGGGTCTCCTACATGGATATAGGGGCCCAAGCACTTGGATCATCCTCAGTTGTTTTTGCAGGGAGCTGAATCAAAAGTGGAGCAACCAGGAATTGAACTGGCACCCATATGGGATGCTGACATCACAGGCAGCAGCTCAACCCACTATGCCAGAACTATTAGTTCCATAACACCAACATCAATAAGTGCAAATGATAACTTGTTAGGTTTGCTTTGTGTGTGGGAGGGTATCAGTCCATAAGCACCCCGACTTTAGCTGCTGCTTTTTTTAGGGCTGCAGAAAAGCACAGATGGAGTTATAAGGCCTGGATTCAAGTCATTTAAGCAAAGTATTTAGTTCCTTTGTGTTTCTGTTTCCTCATCTATAGGATGACAATAATAATACCCCATTCATGATGGTAGTTGTGGACGTGAAATGAGAAAGGCTGTGGCTTAAAGCCTATACTATGGTGTTGGGAGACAAGGATATTTTTCATTTATCCATTCAACAAATGTTAGTTGAGGTCCTACTGTGTGTGTGTGTGTGTGTGTGTGTGTATATATATATATTTATTTTTTTTTTTTTTTGACAGGCAGAGTTAGACAGTGAGAGAGACAGAGAGAAAGGTCTTCCTTTTTCCATTGGTTCACCCTCCAAGTGGCCGCCACAGCCGGCACGTTGTAGCCTGTGTGCTGCACCGATCAGGAGCCAGGTGCTTCCTCCTGGTCTCCCATGGGGTGCAGGGCCCAAGCACTTGGGCCATCCTCCACTGCACTAC